ATGCAATATGAACTGTGCAAGGTGCTCACTTGAATTCTCACTTATACAAGTTTTGATTCTTTCTACCCGCAGAGGCTTAATTTTTTATTCCTCTTTTGACATGTCACAGCGTTTGTACCACATCTTTCCGATCATAATCTATTCACTAATTCCATCCGGCACTAAATTTATGAATTATGGCTGTTCCATATTATCCGTGGTTTGGGCTGGCTGTTTTTTTTTTTTGGTCAGAGCACGTATTCCAATTGAAAATACATGACTGAAATTTGCTAATTCACCTTTTTTTAATCTTTAATTTAAGAGTAAAATTAAATTCCCAGAGCTTTCTATAGTATTAATTGGTAGCGGCTTTTTTTAATACGGTTTTTTGAATAGATTTAGCATTTTTCAATTTTTCGATTAATTTACAGACACGGTTAGAAAGGATTTCGGATGGATGTATGGAATTTATCAATCCGCAAGTAATCGAATGCTTAATGTGCAGTATGACATACACGCTACATCGCCCATACAATATGTGCCGTGCTATTCGTCATTTACGAGCACGACATCAAAATTTGATGCCTGAATTTGTAAGTGTTTTTTTACTTTTGTTTTTTTTTTCCTGTCTTTGTGATATGCGTAAAAATATGTCCTTATAGCTTTAACTTAAGCACTCACTTCCTTCCACAATCTGGAGGCGGGGAGGGGGGGGGGGAATTTGTCGAAAATGAGTAACAGAATCGAACAGGTTGCGGGAAAATGCCGCACCTGCATCGTGTTAGCGATGGACATCGACTGAAAGTGTACAACATAGGACCGATGCGCCAGGCACAGCTTATGCCGACTTTCAGAAGCATCTTGGTAACATCACTAGCATCGAATCCACAGAACTGTTGTTTGATTTGGGCCGTTTTTGTACTCGAGATCGTCCCCCCTCGCCGGCAGGCGGCACAGTTAGCAGTGCTAAAACTGTAGAAAACTCTCTTCCGCATTCCCGACTTAAGTATCATGCCCAGAATTCCATTCGCTCTTCCATATTCTGATCCAGCTGTGTCAAGCGGCTTCGGTTAAACACGCTGTCACTGGGATTAATAAACCAAGCAATTCAATTTGTTATTGTGGTTAGTTAAGCGACTGAAAGAAACTGTTCATTAATTTTTATTCGTTCACCACATAAACCTTGGTACATTATGTCAGCTTCAGCTGTTTTTAAGTGATTTCAACGAATTTTCAACGAATTTGTTTTCAGGGGAAGACTGCGCCGCAAATGCAACCTGCAACAGGTTAGTTCAGTCAATTAAAAGTGGATAAAAAGTGCTCTTTTTTTTTT